GGTACACACTGTACTCCTCTCTCCAGGCTTCATCCAGGCCTGTCTCTGGGTCCTGCCATCTCTTCAGCATTAACTGCACTGTCTGCTCGTCTCCCTCTGTAGTGGCCATGTGAGGCACTTTGGTCAGCTCCCTGATGGACAAGGGGGAAATTATATTTGAAATACAAAGTTGGAATGGAATCAAACAATGTCAATCATCAACATCAGTTAAAAAAAAAAAAGTCCTTCAACAATCCTACAATCATCTTTTCAACAAAGAAAAAAACACACACATGTTTATGGTAAGTATTATAGTCTACAAGCAGGCTTTGAGTGTACTTGGTTTACCATAAATTCTGCTCAATTTCTTTACTGTCCACCTCAGACAGGAAGGTAGTGATGAAGTTCTCATCCACATCTCTGACCACGTCATTAGCCCAGGACGGTGCAGGGCTCCCGGGTTTGGTGATCCCATAGTGTCCGATGAGGATGCCTATGGTCAGGACACAAGCACAGCACCCGAACCCTATTAACAGTGTCTTGAGCATTTTCAGGTCTGAGGTCAAATGTTGCCACAAACTTAGTGTCAGCAGGAAAGGTGGATGCACTGACTCCCACGAGACAGTATTGTAAAGTTTACTTATTAATTGTTGCAGTTGAAATGGACTTTTACCTCGAGGGATGTGTGCGGGTGGTGCCACTTTATTCCTATGAGAGTTTACTCATATTTATACATTTAAAGATGCTCTGTAACTTCTGGTGGGTTGTGTGCCACTGAGGTCGACACCCTAGAGATCTAACCTTAAACTGGTGGAGCCCCCTGTTTTTCTCCATGAAGATAGAAACATCTAATGCCAAACTGTGGAACTGTTTTGTCATTAACATCTTAGTGGAGTGAACTTGGCAGCAGACCCTCCATATGAAAAGTTACATAGCGCATCTTTAATTTATTTTGTTGTAACATATAAACTCTTGTATTACTGAATATTGACTCCATAGACTATAGAATGATGACACATATGTCTTTAAAGCAAAGCGTAAAACTATGTGTAATCTGTAAAGTGTAATCTGAAAGCAAACTATGAATTTTCTCTTACCAGCTTATGAGATTCTCACTTTATCAGAAAAAGTTCTTGAAGCTGAAGATGATTTATTTTAACCTTTAGGTTTAGGTTATTTGGGACTATTTAAAGGTGCACTGTGTAACTTTTCTGATAGGGTCTGCCATCTGCTTGTCTCATGGTGATGTTATTGTTTTGTCTAGGATGTTCCTCAGCCTGGCATTAAACTAATCTATCTTGTGTTTATTCTATTACAAGAGAATTATTTCTCAAAACTACAACAAAAACTCGCATTATTACTGTGAGTGGCCCCACATCCCCACAGATGACTCATAACTTGGCCTGGTGATGTGGCCTCGTTTGTTGCCATGGAAAGGTTAAATTACAGGAAACATCTATATGGAGTCAAGCACGTGGCAGACTCTCAGTCAGAAAAGTTACACAGTGCACCTTTAAGAGCGATGTGTTACAAAACTCTAATATTTTGCTGGCAAGTAAGTCATAAAATCATTCTAGTGCATGGATCTATTATAAAATCTAGTCTGTAAAATGTAGTGATAATGCTGCACTTTTGTACAAGTTACTTATGTATACTTATGACCATAATGTTAGTTTTGCTCAGGAGTAGTTCATTAATGCTAGTTGTTGTCAGCCTTTACATTTTCATCTTTCTTACCTTGGTAGTTGTGGATAAATTCTTCATGGACAGAATATGTCCTTTGTGGAGTTTGTTGGATGAAGATTTGGTGATGGTGCAGATTTATGAACCTGGTGGAAAATATGCAAGACATTTCCACAGATATTTTGCCACAGAAAAGCATTGATGTACATGACATTTACATCCCGGCACTTCCAGCTGTTGTGAAAAAAGGTCTATTGGCTGTTTCCCTGGACTACCATGAGACTTCTCAAATCCGTCTTACCTATCCATTATGATCTGAGTATCCACCCTAACCTGACCGCTTTAGATTTTACTGGGGTGGTCCGTATCCAGTTAGATGTTTGTGAAAATACTAATACAGTAGTGCTGTAGTGTTACATGCCAAGCAAATGCAGATGTCCAGTGGGTTTCTAATAGGCCCCGATGGTGTTAAGCCTCTAGATGTTTTAGAGTATCCTCACTTCCAACAGCTAGCCCTCATTTCAGACTCAGTTTTGACCAAAGGTAGAAATTATGAAGTTCATTTAGACACAATAGCTTGCACATCCCAATATAATATAATATTATAACAAAGAGCAAAAATAAAATGGTTATGAAATAAAATTAATTCCAAATAACTAGCAAAAATTACAAGAAACTTCTAATGTTTTTCCCAATCAGACTTTACATGGACTTTTCTCTGAGTTTGTTTCATGAAGGGACGATGACACATTTTATTGTTTATTTTATTATTATAGATTAAGTCAGAATATCATGTCATAAATCCTGGAGTGCTCAAGTTCTCCTCCCTCTCTGGACTAAATGGTGTTAGTTAATGTGTGTGCAGCGCCCTCTATTGCCTGGGTCAGGACAGACAGGTGGTAGTGTACATGGTCCCAGTCACTCTTCTGTCCTGATGACACAGCTTTATCGAAGGCATCAGCCAAACCGGGGAAGGTAGGTTTCCCAGCGCTGCTCGAGGCCCAGATCACATGCCTGAAAAAAGAAATGAAAAGACCTCAGTACAGTACAATACAGTCTTACTTCACATCATAAATACATCAAAAGTAGGTTTTACAGTCTCAAAGATTTCTGTAAAAAAGCAAAGACTTAAAGAAAGAGAATGACAAAACACTTCCGTTGGATGCACATTCTTGAGTAGAGATACTTCCTGCATTTTCAGAAGATAGATATAGATAGCAGCAAAAGTAAGTATTGTAATTGTAACCATCTGTGACTGTCACACAGTTTTGCACCCACACTACTGATTTATGACATTAGTTGACAAATGTCAGGTTACAAATTTTAAAAAATATGTCAAATGAAAAGCCTTAAAGAGGTATGTCCCTATAACGTAGTGGGTCTTTCCATCCCACGTTTATGTGGGGCCGGGTTGCGGGGGCAGCAGTCTAAGCAGGGATTCCTAGACTTTCTTCACCCCGGACACTTCCTCCAGCTCCTCCAAGGGGACCCTGAGACGTTCACAGGCCAGCAGAGAGACATAGTCCCTCCAGCCTGTCCTGGGTCCTTCCCGGGGCCTCCCGGGACATGCCCGGAACACCTCTCGAGGAGGCCCAGCTTCAGACTCCGGGATCCAGGGTCCAAGCCACATCAGCTGGCTCCTCTCGACGTGGAGCTCCTCCTGTGTCGTCGAGCTCCTCATCCTATCTCTAAGGGAGTGCCCAGCCACCCTGCAGAGAAAACTCCTTTCGGCCACTTGTATCCACAGTCTCATCCTTTCGGTCATTACCGAAAGCTCATGACCAAAGGTGAGGGTAGGAACATAGATTGACCAGTAAATCGAGAACTTTGCCTTTCGGCTCAGCTCTCTCTTCACCACAATGGTTTGATACAGCGACCACATCACTGCAACAACTGCACCGATCCGCCTGTCAATCTCACGCTCCGTCCTCCCCTCACTTGTGAACAAGACCCCGAGATACTTGAACTCCTCCACGTGAGGCAGGGCCTCGCCACCCACCCAGAGAGGGCAAGCCACCTTTTTTTGGTTGAGAACCATGGCCTCAGATTTGGAGGAGCTGATCTTCATCCCAGCCATTTCACACTCGGCGGCAAACCTAGAAATTATCCATAAATAAAATGAACAGAACTGGTGACAAAGAGCAGCCCTGGTGGAGTCCCACATGCACCGGGAACAGCCTGACTTACTGCTGGCAATGAAAGCACAGCTCCTGCTTCGGTTTTACAGGGACCAGACAGCCCTTAGCAAAGGGCCCCGGACCCCATACTCCCGGAGCACCCCCATAGGACACCACGAGGAACCCGGCTGAATGCTCATTCTCCAGATTCACAAGCACATGTGGACTGGTTGGGTAAACTCTCACGAACCCTCGAGCATCCGCCGGAGGGTGTAGAGCTGATCCAGTGTTCCACGGCTGGGACAAAAAATACACTGTTCTGCACTGCAGGTTCGACTATCGGTCGGATTCTCCTCTCCAGTACTCTGGAATAGACTTTACCGGAGAGGCTGAGGAGTGTGATTCCCCTGTAGTTAGAACACATCCTCTGGCCCTCCTTCTTAAACAGAGGTACTGGTACAGAGGTACTGTCCCCGATGCCGCGCGATGTTGCAAAGAGACTTAAGATACTCAGGACGACAATAGTCCTCCTCCATGGCCTCTCCGAACTCCCCCCAGCCCAGAGTTTTTGCCTCTGCAACTGCACGGGCTGCAGCATGCTTGGCCTGCTGGTACCCGTCAGCTGCCTCAAGAATCCCAAGAGCCAACAAGGCTCAATAGAACTCCTTCTTCAACCTGACGGCATCCCTTACTTCTGGCGTCCACACACCAGGTTTGGGGATTGCCAACACGACAGGCAGCACAGACCTTACGACCACAGCTACGAGAAGCCGCATCAACAATAGAGGCCGAGAACATAGCCCACTCGGACTCCATGTCCCCTGCCTTCACCAGGAATTTGGGAGAAGGGCTTTAACTGCCGGAGTTAAACATCTCCTCTCCAGGTGTGACTGTCATTGTCTACAGGGGCACCGAAGTCGCCCAGTAGAAAACAACGGAGTTCCCGGTCGGTGCACTGTCTAGTACCCCTACCTGGGACTCCAAGAAGGCCAGGTATTCTGCCCTGCTGTTTGGCCCGTAGGCCGACACAAAAGTGAGAGACTTGTGAGAGACTTGTCTCCGACCTGAAGGCGCAGGGACGCGACCCTCTCGTTCACTGGAGTGAAATCCAACACATGGTGGCCAAGCTGTGGAGCAGGCCCACACCAGCTCGCTGCTGCTCCCCCATAATTCATTCCATAATATATTTAAAGGTCCTATATTATACCAAACTGACTCCTGTGAGCTTTCAGCAATGTTAGAATGTTATTCCCTAATCAAAAACATACCTGGAGTTGTGATCTGTTTCATTCACACATTTTTGAGTATTGCTGCATTAGTCAGTCTACATCTTCAAAGTTTAAAATGTTCTCTTTCACTTTGTGATGTAATGAAGCAGTTTAGTTTAGTAAGGATTGAAAATTTCAGGGCCGCAAATTATTCAAGTGATTCTAGTGAAGGTGTATGGAGTTTAAAAATACAGTGGAGTGCACTTCCTCTGTGACCACATGACATCACCAGGTGAAACAGTGTGTTTCCTGACTGAGAGAAGAACTTCTAAATATGCAGGTTTGTGTGTTAAACATGTGTGAATGAAACAAAACAAAACTCTGGTATGTTTTTCATGAGAAATCAACATTATAACATAGATCAGAAAACAGTGTAATATAGGCCAATTAAAAAGTCTTCTTACCTGTAAGCATGTTTATCTGGGAAAGCCAGTGGGTCCAAGAATGCTCGGTCCAACAGCATGAGTTGGTCATTTATCATCCTGACTTTGAGAGGTCTTGAAAAGAACAATTCCTTATTATTATTTATAAATACAGGTGTAATTATAGCCAGTATGGATATGTGCAGACTTACGATTCATTCTTCAGATCTGAGGTTTTAATGACTTCGTCCATATGAGAAGCCGCCCTGCGAAAACTGTCCACTGCATGTTTAATTGGATCTGATTAAAAAATATATATAAATAAATAAATAACAACAACAACAACAAAAAGAACAAAAAAAGGGCCCATATTAAGCTATGCTATAATGTTGTTCCCTCATTAGAAACATAAAGTAATAACATTACAACAGTTCTTAAAGCTCACAAGAATCAGTTTTGTGTAATATAGGACCTTTAATAGGACCTTCATATTTTTAAAAGTAAACTCAAAACGTATCTTTTTAATTTAGCTTTTGATTGAAACTTTTATCTGTTTTAACTTAAATTATTATCATTATTATTATTATTACTATTATTATATTTATTTTAAATTAAATTATCATTACTTTTTTACTTTGTCTCCATCTGATTTTAGCTCTCCATTTTTATTTTATTTTATTTTTATAACCTTTAGGAGCTTTATATTTCTGTTTTATGTTTATGTTTAAATTGTTGTATAATATGGATGAAACAGTGGGGTGGGGGGTTGCTGTTGTTTTTAATTATTGCATTGTAATTTTTCTGTTGCATGTGAAGCACTTTGTGCTACATTTCAAATGTATGAAAAGTGCTATACAAATAAAGTTTGATTGATTGATTGATTTAATGAGTTATTCCTGCTGTATCAAAATGTATTTAAATGAAAGTACCCATAGATATGTTTTTGGCTTTCAGTTGTTCCTCATATTGTGCCACTGCCTCCTTCAGATAATCGTCCAATGTTTCAGCATAGTCCCCACAGTTAAAAGGCAGCACCAGGCTGTCAGCCAGTCGAAGCAGGACGTTCCCCGCTGTCCTGGCAACAGCCTGATGACTTGTGAAACCTGAAAAGAAAACAAAATGGTAATTCACTAATAATTCAGACTATTAGGTTAGTTTTAATTAATAGTTCAATATTTGTAAGATCATAATTTCATTTCGCTCTTTGACATTCTAATGAGATGGTGCGTTTGGTCAAGGTTGAAGTACCCCAGAAGTACTTGGTGAATAATAGAAATTAAACATGTAAAAATATGCAGCAATACTAACCAGGATCAATGTATTTTGAAGCATAGTCAAATGTGTGTCATAAGCTGTGTGGTATGCTGGGTAAATCCTTGCTCTTGTTTTACTCTGTCCAGAATAAAACACAAAAAAAACTACAACTTGGAAAAAAAAAGTTACACATTGGAAATTTCCTAAATAGAAAATAGTAATGTGTCAAATTACCCGATCATAAGTGTATGACATGTCCAAAGAGGTGATTCCCAGGTAATGGACAAAAGAAGCGTAGTCACTCCCTGCTCCTGTCAGGTATCCAATGCTGTCACAGTGAAGAACATTATATACAGTGTATTTTGTTTGAACAGCAGAAAGTTGCAGAGATTGTAAAAAAAAATTAGAAAATAAGAGCAGTCAATGAGAGTATCACATACCGGGGGATGACACCATGAGTCGGACTGGTTTTGTTTGAATATTTGATCCAGTTCTCATACACAGTTGTAGATTGTAGTCCAGGTGCATTGACCTGGGAACATCAGTTAATTATGTAAAAACACATTAATAATAAATAAATAATATAAATAAATATTAGTATTAGTATATAGTGTTTTTGTAGGTTTACCTGTTTAGCAGCAGTGAAGACAACATTCTGAATAGATGGCATTGTAGATGCAGTTAGAGTGGCATTAGCTAAAATATTAAAATGAAAATTGAATGTAAAATGGTTAGCCTGTGGTTAGTTTAAGGGGGTGTTAGAATGTAACGTTAACCCTGAAATTCTTACCAAAAACAGCTATATCCACATTGATGTAAGCAACAGTGCGCTCACTGAGCTTGGCGAAGTATTGCTAGGGTAAACAATGTCAGAAATAAATGTAAAAGAAACCTTTTTATGTGTATGGGTGTACAATGTAATGTTACCTCAGTATATTCTGTGGAGCCAATAAGGCCAAACTCCTCTGCTCCCCAGCTTACCAAATATAATGGACCTACGGGGTCTCCATTTGCCTGCACAAATGTAGCACAGTGTGCATGATTTTACAGGTGTTTTTACAGTTGTGTGTGGGTGGTGGAGGTCAGTGCTCACCCTGCTTCACCAGCCTGCCCAGCACTCGAGTGATCTCCAGCATCACAGAAGTCCCACTGCTGGGGTCTATGGCACCATGGACCCAACTGTCCCTGTGGTTCCCATACATGACATACCGGTCTGGCAACATAATATATGCTTATGTGACACAAATGTAATACAAACCTCTTTATAAAAAAACATTATGTTATTATTGGTCTCACCAGGCTCCACACTTCCTCTGATGACTCCCATTACATTTGAGGAGTTCTTCACTGTGTTATAGTTGCCAATGTCCAGTTTCACTTCACTGAAAAAGAGACCTGTGTCATCATATGCCTCCTCTCACACAAAAGAATTAAACTGCATAATAGTTTTAAATATATTTATGGTTTGAGGGTGATATTTAACTGTAGCTTAATGCAAATTATTAACCCTATTTAACTATCAAGGTTATTCCCTTAGGTCTCACTTTATGAGTTGAGTCCATAAAACAAGTGTGATTATCAGTGGAGATTTCTACCTGTCTTTAAAGGTGGATGTAGTTTTAAACCCAGGACCACCAAAGTTGTATTGGCATTTAAATGATCCTTGCCAGTCAACTGGGGCTGCCTTCCCATCCAGAGCGCTGTAGGAACACCAAATGTTTAGAGCTCTTGATATTCCACAACTTTCAGGACATGACATATCAAACATATCACAGACCAGATCAGTAAGGAGGCATCCTCAAATCCTATTGGTTGTACTGGAATTGGGGGAAGGCCTGGGATGTCCTCGACAGGAATTCTGTATGTGTGATCTTTGAAGAAAAAAAGTCTTCAGTATTATAATATTTTCACATAACTTTACAGTGAATACATCATTTTGGACAATACCTTTAGCAGCCAGGTATGGTGTGAGCATATCTCCAAAAAGAGTGCTAAATGCACCCCTTTCCACCCCAGTAGGGGGCAGGTACCACGAGTGAGGGTATGTCTCATTCTGGTCAGACATAAGACCATCGTTGATGTCATAAGGGTCAGTGTAAACTAATACACCCACAACACCATAGGGCTCTCCATTAATGGCCTGCATAAAAACACTACATAAGTGTTTGTTTTTTCAGCCATATTTCAACACATAGTAAATAGAAAATATTGGTATTTGAGTTGTACACTGTACCTTAGCACCTCTACCTGTTCCTCCATATCTAGTGATGGCAATAGTGCCTCTCAGGTCCACAGTCTGGTTCAGGAGCATGTAATCACTTGGCCTTCCATAGTTGGCATAGACCAGTTTTCCCTGAGACCATATAAAATATCCATTGATCATGACACAAACTCATTATCTGGGTCATTATCTGATCAAACAGTGTTGGAGATTCAACTCAATATGACATGGCAAATCTTTATCAGACCTGTTAATGTTTGCCAGATGCATTTAATCAAAGGCAACATTAAAATACTAAAGTAGGATTTTTAGGAGTAAGTACTTTTATTTACCTTGACGTTGCCTGGAGGTGAGTACGCAGCGTAGGGGGGGCACTACATTGGGGTCATCTTGGTCTGAAGTATAACTTATTTCCTTTTCTCTCAGAGTGTGCAGCACTGCATTTGACGCATTCACTTGAATACAAGAAGGGTCCAATTACACTATTTTTTTTACCTGTGTTATAATGTTATTTTCCTCTTCACAAACATACCTGGAGTTGTATTTTATTTCAGTCACACATGTTTAACACACAAATCCTGCATATTTAGGCTAAGTTCTTCTCTCAAATGGAAACATTGTCCCACCTTGTAATGTCATGTGTTACTATAGGAGGTGCTCCACTGTGTAAACTCCATACACCTTCACTAGAATAATTTGGATGATTTCAACACTGTAATTGCCCATCTCTACTAAACTAAAGTTAAAAGATAGCTGTTAACTTGAAAACTACTGCAAGGTGGAACAGAGCATTTTGAGATGTGGACATGTAGACAGATTAATAAACCAGGATTAATCAAGCATGTGTGAATGTAAAAAACTCCAGATATTTTTTGATGAGCTCACATGAGTCAATTTTTCGTAATGTATGACGTTTAAGCGAGATGCCTTTACGTCTCACACAGGCTCATATCAGAGTTGTCAAAGTTGAGTTTATCAAAGACCCCACTGACCTACAGTGACTTTATTTGGTTTCTTTGGGTCAGGGAAGGACAGGTACACACTGTACTCCTCTCTCCAGGCTTCATCCAGGCCTGTCTCTGGGTCCTGCCATCTCTTCAGCATTAACTGCACTGTCTGCTCGTCTCCCTCTGTAGTGGCCAGGTGAGGCACTTTGGTCAGCTCCCTGATGGACAAGCGGGAAATTATAGTTGAAATGCAATGTTCACTTTTTTCTTTCATAACACTTTTTTTTCTTTTTATAAAAAAAAACAAAAAAACAAATCAGGGCTGTACTATTAATCAAATTTATATTGAGATAATATTTTCCAGTCTTTTTAATCTAGTTCTAATCTTTCAAGAGGTTTACAGCCAGTCTTGTCAGTAAAAGCATGTGGGTGGATATAGTCAAAATGAAATTGGAATTGGAATGGAATTGAACAATGTCCCCTATCAAAATCAGTAAAAAATAAGTAAATAAATAGTCAAATCTCCCATCCTTTCAACAAAGACAAAAAAAGACAGACATGTTTATGGTAAATATTATAGTCTACAAGCAGACTTTGAGTATACTTGGTTTACCGTAAATTCTGCTCAATTTCTTTACTGTCCACCTCAGACAGGAAGGTAGTGATGAAGTTCTCATCCACATCTCTGACCACGTCATTAGCCCAGGACGGTGCAGGGCTCCCGGGTTTGGTGATCCCATAGTGTCCGATGAGGATGCCTATGGTCAGGACACAAGCACAGCACCCGAACCCTATTAACAGTGTCTTGAGCATTTTCAGGTCTGAGGTCAAATGTTGCCACAAACTTAGTGTCAGCAGGAAAGGTGGATGCACTGACTCCAGTGAGGCACCATTGTAAAGTTTACTTATTAATTGTTGCAGTTGAAATGGACTTTTACCTTGAGGGATGTGTGCGGGTGGTGCCACTTTATTCCCATGAGAGTTTACACAAATGTATACATTTAAAGATGCTCTATGTAACTTCTGGTGGGTTGTGTGCCACCTGCTTGTTATTGCTTTGCCTGGAATTTTCCACAGCAGGACAGTGGGTGTCTCTCTCCTGCCTATTGCTAAATTAAAAAATTGAAAAACATGTATCCTCGCTGTAACTGAGGTTTATCAGGAAAAAAGTCCTTGAAGTTGAAGATGATTCATTTTAACCTTTAGGTTTAGGTTAGTTGGAACAATTTAAAGGTGCACTGTGTAACTTTTCTGATAGGGTCTGCCATCTGATTGTCTCATGGTGATGTTATTGTTTTGCCTGGGATGTTCCTCAGCCTGGCATTAAACTAATCTATCTTGTATTTATTCTATTACAAGAGAATTATTTCTCAAAACTACAACAAAAACTCATATTATTACTGTGAGTGGCCCCACATCCCCACAGATGACTCATAACTTGGCCTGGTGATGTGGCCTAGTTTGTTGTCGTGGAAAAGTTAAATTGTTATGTAGAAAATTACAGGAAAACATCTATATGGAGTCAAGTAGGTGGCAGACTTTCAGTCAGAAAAGTTACACAGTGCACTTGTTACAAAACTCTAATATTTTGTTGGCAAGTAAGTAATACAATAATCATTCTCGTGCATGGATCAATTATACAATCTAATCTATAACATGTAGTGTTACTGTTGCAGTTTTTATCTGAAGAAGCTGACTAAAAACTAAAAACAAAACAAACAAAAAAAAAAAAAAAACAATAGCTCCATCTTGCGGTCATAATTTGAATAGCTCGGACTCAAAGCCTCACTTCCTGATATCTACACTGTATTTCTCCTTCCTTGCGCATGCCGTTTTTACCTAGTCTGCTGCACAGTCTGTGATTAAGTATTAACCTTTTGTTTTCTCATGTTGTTAGCTATTTTATCGTACATAACAGCTATAAAAACTATGCGTAAGCAATTGGAGTCATGCATTTTAGCTCCAGTCCGTACTAGCTCTTCACGCAAACACTGTACCTGGATTGTTGCGTGCTCCGTATTTCGAGTAGCATATGCAACGATGATTTTAATAGATCCAAGTTTGGCTCTGATGATGTGACAGTTGGCTTTCCCTCCCACAATGCATCTCTTTCGGCTTGTTTCACTTTCAGTGTTGCTTTTGTGCTCGTACCTCTGAACCTGCAGTGACATGGTAAGTTAATTTCAAATAGTAACTATAAACTTACTATCTGATCACAAGGCTAATCCTAGTTTAGCCATATTGTTCACAACTTCTGAATGACAATTTTAGTGATTTGTCTACTTTAACTTCTTTCGACTTCAGATGAAATCGAAAGTGCGTTATTGCGGAAATACCCTACATTTTGTGATAGTANATCAAATGAAAAGTCTTACAGGTATATGTCCTTGTAGCTGACAGTAAATGACGTATTGTGTCATTCGATAATATTTAAAGGTCCTCTATTATACAAAACTGACTCCTGTGAGCTTTTTGGCAATGTTAGACTGTTGTTCCCTAATCAAAAAGAGTTGTGATCTGTTTCATTCACACATTTTTGAGTATTGCTGCATTATTTAGCGAGTTTAAAATGTCCTGTACCACCTTTTACCTTTAGTTTAGTAGAGACTGGAAATTCCAGGGCTGCAAATGATTTGAGTGATTCTAGTGAAGGAGTGGAGTTTAAAAATACAGTGGAGTGCACTTCCTGTATGACCACATGACATTACAAACACTGTTTCCTGACTGAGAGAAGAACTCATAAATATACAGGGTTTGTGTGTTTAAACATGTGTGAATGAAACAAAACAAATCTCTGATATGTTTTTCATGAGAAAACATTATAACATAGATCAGAAAACAGTGTAATATAGGCCAATTTAAAAAGTCTTCTTACCTGTAAGCATGTTTATCTGGGAAAGCCAGTGGGTCCAAGAATGCTCGGTCCAACAGCATGAGTTGGTCATTTATCATCCTGACTTTGAGAGGTCTTGAAAAGAACAATTCCTTATTATTATTTATAAATACGGGTGTAATTATAGCCAGTATGGATATGTGCAGACTTACGATTCATTCTTCAGATCTGAGGTTTTAATGACTTCGTCCATATGAGAAGCCGCCCTGCGAAAACTGTCCACTGCATGTTTAATTGGATCTGAAAATTTTAAAAAAGAACAAATAATTTTTAATCTACTGTAAGAGAGTGACTCTGAAAATAGCAGAACATGGACCCTTTAAGGTCCATGTTCTGCTATTTTCTGAACTATGTTATATTGTTGTTCCCTCATCAGAAACATACCTGGAGTATTGTTTTGTTTCATTCACACATGTTTAACAAAAAAATCCAGCATATTTGTGTCTGAGTTCTTATCTCAAATTGAAAACAATCTGTTCCACCTTGTGATGTCATGTGCTCCACTAGGTTTTTAAACTCTATACACTTTCAGAAGAATCATTTGGATTATTTCAGCCAATGAATTGCTAATGTTGAATGAACAAAAGGTAAAATGTTGCTGTTAATTTGAAAACTAACAAGGTGGAACACAGCATTTTGAGCTTTAGAGATGCAGATAGACTAATAATGCATAATTACTCAAACATATGTGAACGAAAAAAACACAACTCCAGGTATGTTTTTAGAAGAAGTAATAACATTACAACATGTCTTAAAGCTCACAAGAATCAGTTTTGTGTAATATAGGAGCTTTAATGAGTTATTCCTGCTGTATCAAAATGTATTTAAATGAAAGTACCCATAGATATGTTTTTGGCTTTCAGTTGTTCCTCATATTGTGCCACTGCCTCCTTCAGATAATCGTCCAATGTTTCAGCATAGTCCCCACAGTTAAAAGGCAGCACCAGGCTGTCAGCCAGTCGGAGCAGGACGTTCCCCGCTGTCCTGGCAACAGCCTGATGACTTGTGAAACCTCAAAAGAAAACAAAATGGCAATTCAATAGTAATTTAGACTATTAGGTTAGTTTTAGTTAATAGTTCAATATTTGTAAGATCATAATTTCATTTCGCTCTTTGACATTCTAATGAGATGGTGAGTTTGGTCAAGGTTGAAGTACCCCAGAAGTACTTGGTGAATAATAGAAATTAAACATGTAAAAATATGCAGCAATACTAACCAGGATCAATGTATTTTGAAGCATAGTCAAATGTGTCATAAGCTGTGTGGTATGCTGGGTAAATCCTTGCTCTTGTTTTTACTCTGTCCAGAATAAAACACACAAAAACATTTCACATTGGAACATTTCCCAAATACAAAACAGTAATGTGTCAAATTACCCGATCATAAGTGTATGACATGTCCAAAGAGGTGATTCCCAGGTAATGGACAAAAGGAAGCGTAGTCACTCCCTGCTCCTGTCAGGTATCCAATGCTGTCACAGTGAAGAACATTATATACAGTGTATTTTGTTTGAACAGCAGAAAGTTGCAGAGATTGTAAAAAAAAATTAGAAAATAAGAGCAGTCAATGAGAGTATCACATACCGGGGGATGACACCATGAGTCGGACTGGTTTTGTTTGAATATTTGATCCAGTTCTCATACACAGTTGTAGATTGTAGTCCAGGTGCATTGACCTGGGAACATCAGTTAATTATGTAAAAACACATTAATAATAAATAAATATTAGTATTAGTATATAGTGTTTTTGTAGGTTTACCTGTTTAGCAGCAGTGAAGACAACATTCTGAATAGATGGCATTGTAGATGCTCTAAGGGTCGCGTTAGCTAAAATATTAAAATGAAAATTGAATGTAAAATGGTTAGCCTGTGGTTAGTTTAAGGGGGTGTTAGAATGTAATGGTAACCCTGAAATTCTTACCAAAAACAGCTATATCCACATTGATGTAAGCAACAGTGCGCTCACTGAGCTTGGCGAAGTATTGCTAGGGTAAACAATGTCAGAAATAAATGTAAAAGAAACCTTTTTATGTGTATGGGTGTACAATGTAATGTTACCTCAGTATATTCTGTGGAGCCAATAAGGCCAAACTCCTCTGCTCCCCAGCTTACCAAATATAATGGACCTACGGGGTCTCCATTTGCCTGCACAAATGTAGCACAGTGTGCATGATTTTACAGGTGTTTTACAGTTGTGTGTGGGTGGTGGAGGTCAGTGCTCACCCTGCTTCACCAGCCTGCCCAGCACTCGAGTGATCTCCAGCATCACAGAAGTCCCACTGCTGGGGTCTATGGCACCATGGACCCAACTGTCCCTGTGGTTCCCATACATGACATACCGGTCTGGCAACATAATATATGCTTATGTGACACAAATGTAATACAAACCTCTTTATAAAAAACATTACGTTATTATTGGTCTCACCAGGCTCCACACTTCCTCTGATGACTCCCATTACATTTGAGGAGTTCTTCACTGTGTTATAGTTGCCAATGTCCAGTTTCACCTCACTGAAAAAGAGACCTGTGTCATCATATGCCTCCTCTCACACAAAAGAATTAAACTGCATAATAGTTTTAAATATATTTATGGTTTGAGGGTGATATTTAACTGTAGCTTAATGCAAATTATTAACCCTATTTAACTATCAAGGTTATTCTCTTAGGTCTCACTTTATGAGTTGAATCCATAAAACAAGTATCAGTGGAGATTTCTACCTGTCTTTAAAGGTGGATGTAGTTTTAAACCCAGGACCACCAAAGTTGTATTGGCATTTAAATGATCCTTGCCAGTCAACTGGAGCCACCTCCCCATCCAGAGCGCTGTAGGAACACCAGATGTTTAGAGCTCTTGATATTCCACAGCTTTCAGGACATGACATATCAAACATATCACAGACCAGATCAGTAAGGAGGCGTC